CCCCGCCGCTCCACCCTGCCGCTAGCGAGGCTGAACCTGTATTCCCGGTAGGCACGGAGCACACGTACACACGACGTACGTACACGTCTGGGCACACAGCGCTTAATACACACACAGACGATACCAACGGCCATGCAGATGTGTGCACACAGATACACGCACACCTATGGTGGGTCCCTCCAGCTTCCCAGTTGCTGTCACCTGGAGACGTGAGCCCCTGAGGCTGCGTTGCGATGGAGTGGTTTGTGGTCGCTCAAAGGATTGACGTCAAAGGTATTAGCAGAAATGGTTTTAATGCGGATTTATAAAAGTACGACTTAACGAAGTTTGATGGCAAGGTTCACTCTATTACTTACATAATGAAAGGGATATATACAGGAAAAATCAAGTTAGAACTGAGCTAGAGTGATTTACACAGAGACCCCGCTCCAGTTACATCTCTCACGAATGCACAACTGGCCAGGACTCTCCTGGTCCCATAACCTTACGCTCTCCTAGAGCCATCCTGGTGCGCTGACACCAACACCCTGAGCTGGCCATTAGAGACCCCATCAGAGACCCCTTTTCTCCCAGGCTATTTCTCCCCTTCTCCAGCGACTCTAGCTTGATCATCACCAGCGATAGCACGCCCATCCCCGATTCAGTTGCTGAGCCATGGACACGGCTCCTCCGACCTGCCGTCTGATGCCAGTTGCTGCCCTCCTGTGCGCACAGGGACACAGAACACGGTGCCCTCACCCAGGAAAGTTAGAAAGGAATTTAGTAAGGACACGGGACAGATTGTGCTGATCAGGTGCAGGGCATGGCCAGACAAGTGTACCGACTGGCCCGCTACTTCCCACGTGGGTTCTCCAAATCACCTAAATCCCTCCCTTTTCCCACCTTTGGTTCCTGCCCTGAACAAAGGGCACCTGGAGAGCCCCTGGTGTTCGTAAACCCGGATGAGATCCCCTCCAAGACAAAGACTTAACAGCGATGGGTTTTGCTCCTGGTCAGAGGGGCCGATGGCTCTGCAAGAGCAGCCCTGAAAAGGGCCAAGCCAGGGTCTCATCGCCTCAAGAGTCCTGCAGTTGGGTTCCTGCCTGCCCTTGTGCCCCTCTGCAGCCCTCGGCTTGTGCAGATGGGCCTTTGATGGCCCCCGTGATGGGTCTGGGTGTATGATTTGGGCTCCCCTTCCCACCACGGGGCGTGTGGGTGGGTGTGTGCTCCCTTGTGGGTGTGCAGCCCGGGCTGGAGAAGTTCCTTTAGCTTGGATGATGCTTGAAGATGCCTCCTGAGCAGCCTGCACTGCCGACACAGGTACCCTTGGACAGCCCACCAGGGCCAGCCTGCAGAAACCCAGCACTGACCCCATCCTGCTGCCCAAAACGACATCTCCAGCCAGAGCTAACCACAGGCGTCGGTTTTTAGTTACCCCATCACACGGATAGACGACGTTTCGTGCCTTGAGGAGAACCTGTCTCGTGCCGGTAACACACTTGATTTAATGGCAGGGGAGAAAACAGTGGAAAGCAGAAAGCACCTCCTCATTTGTGGGGGTTTTGCAGAGCAGGTCTAGGAAAGCAGGCGTGGAAAAAGGCACGGCGCTGGCAGCTGGGCTGGGAGGCAGGAAAAGGCTCTGGCTGCGGTCTGTTCAAACTAGCCTGACAAATCCAAACCAGGCATCCCCCGTAACATTCCCCTGCCGCTGTACGGCTGGGAAAGACACAACATGAAAGGCAAAACCAGCTCCGCATGTGGAACGAGTAACTGGGAGCCGTGCCTCTGTTACGGCAGTGGGCCCCAGCCGGGGGGTGGACCTGAAAAACTGCAGCCCACGCAAGTGTTTGGTTTAGCAGGTCCCCTGGTTTTTTTGGGGAAAAAAAAAGCCTTTCTGCAAGGACAGGTGGGCTCAGGGGGTGCCGGAGGCGTAGCCAGGAGAAAAGGCTTGCTGCCAACCTGGGGATGCGCGGGGAGGGGGCACGCACACCTCCCGTGCCCAGCATCCCTTTTGTGGGCAACCCAGAGCTGGGGCAGCGCGGGGGGCTTGGCGTCGGGTGGGTGTCGAAGGGCTTTTGCGAAAGCTGGGCTGGGCCAGGAGAGCAGCGGCCAGCTTACGACGGCCCCAGCTGGGAACAAACCCGGGTGCTCCTGACATCCTGACATCCAGATGTGAACGCTGGGCGTGCAGGAGGTTGTAACGTGGAAGCAATTAGTGCCTCAATGAAAGCACAGACGTGCCTTTTATGAGCTCCCAGGGCTGAATTATGGTGGAGCTGAAGACCTGCTCGGAAATGCTTCTCAAAGGGAGGGTTCGTGTCTGCTTTATGCCAGACAGCCTGAAAGGTAAGACAATTTTTACCACGCCTGTGGCCAACGGCCAATTTCATCTTAGCCCAGGAGCCAAAAGCAAAGGCGGTTTGAGTCTGTGCAAAACCGGGGAAAAGGCATAACGAGGGGGCTGGGAAGGTCCGACCCCCCCCTGGGAAGGGCTGCTCTTCGTGGGTGCCCCCGGGGTGCAGGAGTGGGGTGCAATCCTTTACAGCTGCTCCAGAAGAGTGTATTCAGCAGAACCGCTCCCTTTGCTGGAGATCTGCACGAAAAAACCCTCACGGCTTCGGATGGGGTAGTTAAAATAGAGGTAAAAATCCTAAGGAAGGAGAGATTTGAATGGCTAAGAGCTAAAGCTGGCTGGAAGTGCCGTTGAGCCGGTGGTGTCTGTGTACCCAGACGGGGATGCTCCTCGACTTCCCGGCAAAGCGCAGAGCTGGGTGGGAGCGGGGCGATGACATGTGCGGAGTGGGGCCAGCCGAGGGTGGGCTGCATCCCCCTGCCCAACCCTGCCAGCAGGGATGGACCACCGCGGCTGGGAGCCCGTGGGTCGGTTTGCTTTGGCACGCATCCCATGTGG